CTTTTCTTTTTTCTTTGCCACCCTTGCCGTTGCACACACACACTCACAAGGGCAATATGTGCGCCAGAAACGTAACGAGGGCGAGCAAACAAGGTGTCGTGAGATTTATTACAACTTCGTGATGATTCGACCATAACCCCCTTGACGCGTACGTCATGTGTAGTAACAAGCTTCGCACGCGAAACACACACACACACACACACACACACACACACACACACACACACACAAGAGTGTGAGAGAGCGCGCTAACACAGTGACCCCCATAAATTACGACCAAGACGACGCATCATCATCTCCTCCCTCCGCGAATCTTTTGCGAGCGACGGTGACGAACTCTGTCGGGCGTCGGGCAGGCGAAGACCGGAGGGAAGGGCGGAGGCAGACAAGCCCACGGCAGCAGCCAGAATACAAACAAAACCAACAAATATTTTCGCCGAAAAAAAAAAAAAACAGAAGCAACGGCAGCGAAATAAAAACCGCGCCTCCCGTGTGACAACGGTGGGGCCGACCCATGCCATGTCATGCCCTCTTCGTTTATCCTGACCTCCTCTCTCTCTACTGTGCCCGCCGCCCTCACCACCACGTACGGCTCTCTCTCTCTCTCTCTCTCTCTCTCTCTCTCTCTCTCTCTCTCTCTCTCTCTCTCTCTCTCATTACGCTGGCAACAGGTTGCGAGAGAATGAGTGAAACAGCGCTACTGACATAATCCACGCCGATGATCCACCGGAATACTAGATGCGACCTTTATAAAGACTGACTGCCCAGGCCTTAAGGCACGGCCAGCCAGCGGGAGCGAGAGAGAGAGAGAGTGCGAGCATCGTCAGCGAGTGCGAGAGAGAGAGGGCGCGAGAGGGGAACGCGCGAGGGAGCCGCGGAGAGGAAGCAGTCGGAATAATGAATGAAAAATAAGGGGCTGGCCTAAGAGAGAGGGGAGGGGGGGAGGGGAGGGGGGCGTCGTGCTCGCGGGGCGTGGAGGACCGCGACCGCGCCGCCCGGCTGGCCGACGCCCCGCGACGCCCCGCGACGCCGCCGGCTATTGGTCGGCACTCTTTCGCACGGGCCGCGGGCATCCTCCTCTATTACCATAGGATTAGAATAACCGGTGGCCGCGGCCTGGCCCGGCTCGGCCCAGCCCGGCTCGGCGCCGCCCGCCTGACACGCACCGGCTGCGCTCGGCTCGGCTCCGCTCGGCTCGGCTCGGACGCCATACCGGTAGCGCCGATTCGCTAATTAATTATCCGAATTGAATGAGCGCGCGCAATTCAAAAAGCCGGCGGACAGTGCGTCGTGGCTCCGCGGGCCGGCGGAGCGCCCGGCGGGTAGGCCGCCCGCTGAGGCGCTGCGTTCCGCGGGACGGCCTACCCGGCACGGCGCTCAGGCACCTCGCTCCGCATTAGCGAATTAAATCTGCTTTCCTACTTTCCAACTTGCACGCTGCTCTTTCTTTGATCACGGTCGAGTGAAAAAGTCGAAGACGAGAGACCGCCCATGGTCTATGGCCTAAGCCTGTAGGACAACAAGCAGGCCGTCCGAAGACCCTCCGATTAACCCTTGCCGACAGTTTGACAAACATCTCGGCCTTCCAGTGCGGGGCTGCCGCCTGCGCCGCCGCCTGCCCAGGTTGCCCAGGTCCGCGCTCGCTATAAACAAACCGGAGCCCCGTCGGCGGCGGCGCGACGGCGCGCTACGTAGTAAAGAAACGGATGAAGAAGAAAGAGAACGCAGAAAAGCAAATACGCGCGGAAAATGCGCCAAAGACTTTATTTGGATTCTGACGCGAAGCCTCCAGTTTATGGTGCAGGCGCGAAACGGGGCGACACTAGCCGAACCTACGGGCCGCACGAACGCAACGAACGGACTGACCGGTTGCCGGAGCGACCCTTCCACGGCATCGGGCCGATTAAGGCAGTCCCGGAGGGAAAAAAGAGAACCAAGACAAAACATGAAAATTATGCGCGCTGAAAAGGAGGAAAAGACAGAGAGAGACAAAGAAAGAGGGCGGTGGCGGGCCTGATTGATGCAAAGGGACACGATGACGGCCAGGCGTCCCGAGAGTCCCAGAGATTCACAAGGAGCTCTTGAGAGTCACAGGTCCTGTGCACGGTAAAAACAGTTCCTGGTTTTTCCAGGAACTCCCTGAAAATCGCTTATGTCGCTAGGCTTCCTGGGGAAAAAAATCAGGAACCGTTTTTAACGTGTGGAGAGTCCCCATAAAGTCCCTCAGGTATAACTAGAGAGCCCTAGGAACAGTGGTGTTTTCCTAAGAACATTTAAGGCCATGCGGTGTTGAGGGTTGCCTACCTTCCATTACCATTACCATTAAGGGCTAGACCACCACACTGCCCCCTAGAGCCCCGCTCGCGCACTGCGCTCGGCGTGTGCGACGCGTGCCGCGTTTCCAGGCCCAGCGATAATTCATGACAACGGTCATGGCGACGAGGGGGACAGGGAGTGCGAGAGAGACAGAGCAACGGTCGCGGAATCGCCGCGCCGAAATGACGCCGCCGGAATGATCCCGCGGTCACGCCAAGCCGCTAGTTCGTCGAACGGCCGGCACGCCGAGCACGCCCCGCACAGTGGGCCAGAAGACCGGTGGAGGCGGCCAAAATTCTAGACGCGTTTTGAGCTCCAGAGTCGCTAAACAGGACTCGAACCGAACGTGTGACCCCACCAATGGATTCCTCGTTCGGAGAGCAATCCATTGGTGGGGTCACACGTTCAGTTCGAGTCCCGTTTAGTGACTCTGGAGCTCAAAACGCGTTTAGGGTTTTGGCCGCCTCCACCGGTCTTCTGGCCCACTGTGCCCCGGTCTCGTTGTCGGCAACGAGAGCAACACGGCGCGCGGCAACGCCGAGCAACGCCGAGCAACGCCGAGCAACGCGCCCAGAAAAGCGAGATCTGCCGTAGATTTACAAATGAAGTCGAAATTTACGAGCGCCGCGTTCTTTCTTGCTCTGCTCTGCTCCGCTTTGCTCTGCTGGCCCCGATCTACCCGTCGCGATCAACAAGTGTGGCGATCAGTTTCCTGATCGAGTGCATGCAGCCGGTCCGCCTCGACCGCCTCGACCGGCACGACTCCAGTCACCCGCCGCCCGCCGGACTGAGAGTCGTCGCTCTGTCTCTCTCGCACTCGTGGGGCGTCCCGTACAGGTGCGAGAGAGACAGAGCGACGAAAGCGACTCTGCAGGCCGCTCGGCTCGGACGTCGCCGACGTCGCAGCACCGAAAGCCAAGGGCCGGCCGGACAGCCCGAGCTGGCAGAGGGGCTTATGATCCGTCCTGCTCGAATATCAGCACAGTGTGGCGGCCGGGCGGCCTGGCCGCGGTGGTCGCGGGGCGGCGTGTGGTCCACGGTGTGGTCCGACAGCCGTCGTGAGTCGCCAGGAGAAAGACGGCCGATGACAAAGCACGGCGAGCACGGCGAGGGAGAGAGAGGGAGGGAAACTGCGCGCCGCGAAACTAAAATGCAGTCGGGCTGCCCTGCCCTGGGGCCCGGGGCGTCGCGACGAGCCGTCCTTGCCTCCAACGACCGGCTTCGGGGCGTGGCGGGGCGTGGCGGAGCGCAGCGCGGCGCAATAAAAGAAAGATGGTCTCGGCGACGTCCTCCAGGCCGGGCAGGCCGGCCGAGCCGCCACACCGGTCACGAAGAGCAGCCAGCCTGCCCCGCCTGCGCCTGCTAGGCCGCCGCACAGTGGGCCAGAAGACCGGTGGAGGCGGCCAAAATCCCGGACGCGTTTTGAGCTCCAGAGTCGCTACGATGGGCACGAACCGAACGTGTGACCCCACCAATGGATTGCTCTCTGAGCGAGGAATCCATTGGTGGGGTCACACATTTGGTTTGAGGCCCGTGTAGCGACTCTTGAGCTCACAACGCGTCTACTAGAGTTTTGTCCGCGTGCGCCGGTCGTCTGGCCCACTGTGCGCCGCCTCGCGGATACGGAGGAGCGGCGTGACGGGGACCTAAGTACGCATCGCACTGCGAGGCGGAATGAGAGGTCTCCGTTGTCAACACTCCCTGAAAGCTTGAACATTGTTCAATTTTCTTTCTGAGCGTGGCGTTTGGCGCGGCCTCGCTTTGGTCTTTCCTTTCTGATCGAAGCCAGCAGCACGACATGACGGCCGGCCGGCTGTCCGTCCGACACCGCGACGCGGAACCGCCACTAGACCACGGCACCGCGGTACCGCGGTGACATAATTGGGCTGCACGTCGAACACGAACAAGCGCCCTACTCCAGACACGGTGCCCTACAAGGGCCCCCCGGCCCACTCCCGAGGGCGAGGGCGAGGGCCCTACAAGGGAAGAGAGTTCCCTTTCCCCGGCTCATTAGAAAAACGGGCAAAGGGCAGCGACCCCTGGCCGACGGCGCACTCTCGCGGACCGATGAGGAAACGGATCGTCCGGTCGGCAGTGACAAGACCAGACCGATTCGAACTGCGACCTTTGCTGCGCGGCCTGGCTGGCTGGCTGGCCGGCTGGCCTGGCGGACGACCGGGACGACCCCGCCGCCGCAATCTCAGATCTCCCTTCGGAGCAACAGCGCGCCGCGGTGCTGCAGCGTCCCGACTGCCTGCCTGCGCTTCGCGGCTTCGCGCTTCGAGTTCGCAGCCCCCTGTTTCCCACACATTTCCATCGGTATTTAGAACGAGCCAACTCGCAGCGCGACAACGACCCTAAGGAACCAAAATGGCGCACTCTTCCTCGGTGGGGCTCGAACCCAGGACCCCAGGGCCACTCGAACCTTAACGGTTTCACTGCGATGTGTGCGAGCGCGGAGCGCGCCCTCCCTGTCACTCTATGCAAAATATCGCGATCAGTATGCGGGCGGCGTCGCTTGCCGTGCTCTCGGCTGCATCTCGACGCCGTGCCGCGCCGCGCCGTGGTCTACCTCGGTGTACCTACTGTGCTGCTTTCAATTAAACTTTACTGCCTCCGTTCAATTAGACGGTGGCTTTACATGATCGGATCGGCTGGCCCGCCGTGGCATGAGAGAGACTCACCTGAAAGAAGACCTGGCCGTCGCGCACCCAGCCGATCACCATGTCCGCGCCCTTCATCTTGCCGTCGCTGGAGAAGCCGAGGCCGACGTAGCCCAGCGTGCGGACCTGCACCTCGAACGTGATGTCGTCGTCGCCGGGCGTCCAGAACACGGCGAAGTTCCGGTCCAGCTCGGCGGAGTGCGTCCAGTGGGCGGCGTCGGCGCGGTCGGCGACGCCGAGGAGGCACGCCAGCAGCAGCAGCGCCAGCGGGCAGGGCCCCCAGGGCCCCCACGGCCACCGGGGCGCCGCGGAGGGCCGCGACGACGCCGCCGGCGCCCGGCCCCGCGACCGCCGCCCCCGCCGCCGGCCCGGCGCCATGCCGCCCCCCAGCGCCCCCAGCTCACCGCGCTCGCCGCGCGGACCGCATGCGGTGCACCGGCCGCATGGCAGCCGGCAGTCCCCGCTGCACCCCGACGCAGCTGCGGTCGTAGTGGCCTGCAACAAAAATACACCGAGTTAGCAACAACAACGCGGAACTTCCGGCGCGCCGCTCAGCTGTGCAGGCTTAGCGCGGAAAAACAAACAACAAAAACAACCGTTCGAACTCGAGAACTCGTCAAACGGCCGTTAGTCGCGCCGCTGCCGTCGCTGCAGCGCATGCAGGCTTCGAAGAAGACCCAGTTTGCAGAGGGAAGAACGGGGATGTAGAACACCGCGGCCACGGCCATGCCACTCAAACCGTTGGCGCGGATTTACAGTTTCGGGGTTGAAGAGCGAAGACGGCGGGACTCGACTTTGTTGTGCTGCGCGGTGCTGCGCGGCGCGTGCTGCACTTTTACGCGCTGCTCCCGTTCGGCCCACAAAGGCGCTGCTTCCGGGCGCAGTCGCTCCGTCTCTGTCGCACTCGCGGGCCGAGCGGGGCGCGCCGCGGCGGTGCGAGAGAGACAGTGCTCTGCGTACGGTGCGCTTTCACTCAAACAGCCATCGATAAAGCGGCGGGGCGTCGCAGTGTTGACCCACCGCGGCTTGTCACGGACCCCCGGGGAGGATGGCGGTGGGAGGAAGGGGTCCTGAATGATGAATAGGACGGGGGGTAGGCGGATTGACAGCGCACCTACCCCAAGGCGCGCCTCGGGGACCCCGCCGCCGAGCCACACCCTCGCGCCCTTCGAGGAGGGACAAGGGCAAGACTGCGGTTTCCTTGCTTTCCTCCTTGTTTGACAGCGTAATCGATTCGCAAACACCCCCGGCCGCGCCCAAGCCCGCCAAGGCCACGCCGATACATCATCCGCTGCATTTGTTTACGTCCAAGGGCGCAGAGAGAGTAAGTGCATAGGAAAAGAAGAACACTTTTCAGTGCCATCAGACTGAGAGGCGGGTTTGTCACAGGGAATCGAAGCACGGTGTCCTGACCAGTGAATCCCCTTCGCGCCCCAACGGCCTCGCCTCGTGAGTGCGAGAGAGACGGCGGCCTCGACGCCGGGGCCGAAATTCGCTCATTACTGGGGGCCATTTTGACGGCTCCCAGTCCTGCCGGAGCGCCCCAGGGCAGTCCGGGGCAGTCCGGCGCAGCGCGGCGCGGCGCGCCCCTGCAGGAGCCGCGTAACCTCCTTAGAACCCGTTCTGCCTGCTTCCGCGGCGCCCCAAAATAATTGTCTCGTTTACATGAGCAATTTAAACGTATCGCTTTGTAGAACACGACAAGTACACCGCGACGCGCGGGGGGCGGCCCAGCCCCAGCCCAGCCCCGGCCCTGGCCGTGGTGGGCCCCAAACGGCCCCGGTCTGCCCGGCCCGACCCGGGCCCCCGGCCACTAGCAAACGGATTCCTTTGAACCGAAAAGATAACATCTTTGTCCAGCCGGTCACCTAATGAGATGCAAGCGGGATGAACAGCAGAGCAGGGCAGAGCAGGAAAGAGGAGGGGGGCGGGGATAAAAATTTTAAACGGGCCCACTGCGATTTATGTCCGCGTGCCTCGCATGCTGCTGCCGCTCGCGCACCGACGCATGTAAGCACCACAGTGCGCCTACCAGTAAATTACAGCTCAAAGTACAGCGTGGAGCACCAGCCTCGAGACACTTTACAGTGGTGTGGGTCATTCACAGCCCACGAATGACAAACCGGGCTTTCGGCTGTATATACCTCCTCCTGATGAGACCGGTGATGAGGGCCGAAAGAATCCGATCCGACAGACTCCTGGAATAATCGGGCCGCGACACGCTCGGTTTTATGGCCATTAGCAGTGTGCACCACAACCCACGGCCAGACACACCTGTGCACAGGTAGCGACAGCTCTACGGCCCACACAATGTCACTGCCCTTTTTTTAGTCTTTCGACCGCTCCGTCTTCTTCAGAAACGTCACCTAATTATCAGGCATTCCCCAGACACTCCGTGACCCTGGCGACGGCGGCCCGACAGTGGCGCGACACTCCGTGACCTTTCGGGACGGTAGTTACATGAGGGACATGACATAAGTGGCACAGAGTATGCATGCAGCGAGGGCACACCAATCTGGCCAGCATCTCCGGCGAGTGAAAAGGAAAACAAGCAATAAACTGGTTTCGACGAGCACTCGCTGACGCGGTCGCTAGTTCCCCTCCCCAACCGATATTTAATAAATTAAATCAGGTGTGTCAGCTCCCTCCCTCGGGCGGGCAAGCGGCTACTGAATATCTCCGGCTCCCATCTCACTTGACGATGTCGGGATGATACGGACATCAAAACGGCCATCGCTGATGATAACTCGGAGGCATGGGATCCTCTCACGGGAACGGCTGGGCCGTGTCGGACGCTAAAACTTGCAAGGCCCGGACACCAATTCAGCAACGTAATGGCTGGTGCATAATGCTTCAAGTTTCGGCGAGGCCGAAAACAGCACGCGTCGACACGGCTTTCGAGACACGGCAGCCGATCATCAGCCCAAGGGTGTGGAGCGGTGGAGCCAGACATCCAAGGCAGTTTCCCAAACTTGAGAGCTGGACCGCGCCGTGGTGGGGGTCTAGTTTCGACCAGGAACATCAGGAATCAGATTTGTTCGAAGCGGCTTCATGCTTCATTAGCGACTAATTTCATGGAAAAAGCAGTGGTGTAGTTCCAACCAACTATCCATCCAAACGAGATCTGTCCAAGGGTTCCAGATTTTCAACACATTCTGGCGATCAGCTTCGTTTTCAACAAATAAACTAGCATCATGGTGAACATACTCTAGTAAGAAGTGGCCTCATTTTCAACAAATTCCAAGTCAGCTTCTCACTCAGCCAATTCCACCAAAAATCAGCATCGTTGGCAAAACGGAGCACGATATTCGAGTTGAAGGCCTTCGGCGGAGCCCCAGTTGAGCGTCACCAACACCAGTACAAGCGGCTTCTGCTTGATGTCACCCCGTCTCACTGCGTTTCACTGCGCTCACTGCCAAGCCGGTGCGGCCGGTTTAATTGGTTGTAGACAGCGCGCTGTCAATGAGTTACGATCGCTCTCGATCTCCCGGCCGTTCCTTTTATTGTGGTTCGGCGTGTGTCTGTCGGGGACTGTCCGTGTGTGAGAGTGACATGGGGGGAGATTCCTCGCATGACGCACCCTAGCGGGACAGAATTATTCTATCACAATGTCCATTTCAGGAACAGCGGGGCGCCGCGCCGCAGAGGCAGGCCCGTCGTCGCGCCCGTTCGGACTGAAACGGTGGTCCGGCGACTCTATCGAGTGCCGTTCGAGTGACGCGAGTTGTCAAAAAAAGACCACACAGTCGGCGGTTCCCGGACTTTGCATAAATTTAAGAGCAATGTTCATTCCGGATAGGACTGTGTGATTTCTGTGTTCGACTTGAGAGCATCCGTGACGCCCATGAGAAGGCACAGGCAACTTGTGACGTGACAGATGGACGTATTAATCACCGTCATGAGCGAGCCCTTGAAAGTAAGGCCGTGAGTCCCGATCAATCAGGGCTCCGATAAGCGACACAAAGGGATCATTTTCGGTACGAGAAGGCGTAAGACTCACCGCGTCAAAGTCAACAGCGGCGATTGAAAAACCAGCAGTTCCGGGCACTTTGTCGTCTCGGCGCTGCAGCCTCGCTTTCGCGATCCCCGGCTAAGTCGTCCCAAATCTCGTCATCGCGGAATCGCATTTGTTGCCCCGCATAAACGGATCCGACGTCATCACTTTATGGGCGCCGGATGATCCGATGCTCTTCGATGGCCCTGAGTGCACCGGGGGGGGGGGGGGGGGGGGGGGGGTGGGGGACTCCGCGCGGCGGGGGCAACTTTGTGCCGGATGGGCAGTCATTGTCGGCCCGCTATGCGTCGCCACGTCGCCACACTCGCCGCCCACACACAAAGAAGTTCGCCGGTGTCGCGAAGTGCCCCGCCAAGTGCCCCGCCAAACACCGCCAAACACACGCACGGCGGGCGCGCCAAGATCGCTGACCGATGCGGGCGATAGACCACGGGCCGCCAGGCCGCCATTCAACAGGACCACAATGCGGGGACAGTGCCAGGGCAGTGCCAGGACACTAGCAGTGCCGGGGCGGTCAAGATATTTACACATTTATCGAGACCAGTCATCGGCCAGCCGCTGCGCTGGGATATCGAGGACACGGGTAGACGCACCGACGACGAGCGGACGGACGGACGGACGGACAGACAGACAGACAGACAGACAGCAGGACGACAGCGGACAGGACGGGCCGGACAGCTGCGCCGCGTGCCTTATCGACGAACGTGCGCCCCGCCCGTGTCAGTCCTCATCCGTGGGGCCACGCCAAGGGCCCCGCCCCGCCCCGCCTCGAAATGCACCGTCGATGCAGCGGTGCATCATGGGACGCCGCAACCACTTGTCAGCCCCCTCCCCCCCGCGTCCGGGACTCCGCGAGGCGACCAGGCACCCCCCGCTGGCGGCCGCGAGCCCGCAGCAAGATTTAGGTGACTCCATTGCCTGGCACACCGCGTCACATCGCCTAACGGGACGAGTCGCAAACGCGACATTGTCGGATTGCTGTTATTACCATAATTGTCATGAGCAGAGGGTAGTCCCAAAGAAGATAAAGAAAACGCTCAGAGTATGACGCGCGCGAACACCCTGACCATTCAAAACACATTTTGAAATTGATAAGTACATGTAGGGACCATGAAGCCACTCCGGACCCCAAAAGGGTCAGTGACAGCCACTTGACGAGGTGAGCGATTGGTCGAAGTTCCGCTTGGCTCTGCCCCGGACGAGCAGCGCGTTGA